GAGGGAGGGAGAGAGAGAGAGAGAGAGAGAGAGAGAGAGGAGGCTTCAGGTGTACTGGCCTAATTTCTGTAGCTCTGGTAAACACCACGACCAAAAGCCACTTAGGAGAAAAGCATTTATTTGGCTTATACTTCCACATCACAGTCCATCACTGGGGGAAGCCAAAGCAGGAAGGAATCTGGAGGCAGGAACTGAGGCAGAGGCACTGGAAGAATGATGCTTACCTACTTGCATCCCATGGCTTGGGCTGCTACTTCCGTCCCTATATAACCCAGGACCACCTACCCGGCCGTGATCAGACCCATAGTGAACAGATCCTCCCATATCAATGAGTAACCAAAAATGCCTGGTAGACTTGCCCACAGGCCAGTCTGATGGAGGCATTTTCTCAATTGAGGTTCCCTCATCCCAGATGACTTGAGCTTGTATCAAGTTGACAAAAAACGACCTTGAGAGCCCAGGAAGCCCTCTGTCTCATGGGGTTAAGATGAAGATGATTCACTTGGATGTGTGGCAGGTGGGGAGGCTTTGCCATTCCAGATATATAAGGGGAATCTGCCACTATCCCGTTCATAATTCGCCCCACACTGGACGTTTTACTGCAGTGTTTTCTAATTTGTCCAACACCCCTTCCCTTCCTCTCAATAAGAGTTCCCTGCACTCGGCGAAAGGAGACAGAGACACATTGGAGCACCGGACTGAAATCTCAAGGTCCAAATCAGGAGCAGAAGGAGAGAGAGCACGAGCAAGGAACTCAGGACCGCGAGGGGTGCACCCACACACTGAGACAACGGGGATGTTCTATTGGGAACTCACCAAGGCCAGCTGGCCTGGATCTGAAAAAGCATGGGATAAAACCGGACTCGCTGAACATAGCGGACAATGAGGACTGCTGAGAAGTCAAGAACAATGGCACTGGGTTTTGATCCTACTGCACGTACTGGCTTTGTGGGAGCCTAGGCAGTTTGGATGCTCACTTTACTAGACCTGGAAGGAGGTGGGAGGTCCTTGGACTTCCCACAGGGCAGGGAACCTTGACTGCTCTTCGGGCTGATGAGGGAGGGGGAGTTGATTGGCGGAGGGGGAGGGAAATGGGAGGCAGTGGCGGGAAGGAGGCAGAAATCTTTAATAAATAAATAAATTAATTAAAAAAAAAGAGTTCCCTGCACTGTAGGACACTAGCACACTCAGCCAGTTTAAGGGGGATGATGTGATCACAGACTGGTTTTAAAAGATTCTCTTGGGCAATCACCAGATAGCGGAGCGGCCTTAACTGCGAGCGGAGCGCCCCTCAGGACACCCGCAGATCTCCTTTACCCCGGGGCTTCACTATGGCAGACTGTTGTGTACGGACATGCCCACGGCCAATGTGTAACCCTCCTTCCTATGCTGACCTTGGCAAAGCTGCCCGAGATACTTTCAACAAAGGATATGGCTTTGGGTTGGTAAAGTTGGATGTGAAAACAAAGTCGTGCAGCGGTGTGGAATTTTCAACATCTGGTTCATCTAACACGGACACTGGTAAAGTTAGTGGGACCTTGGAGACCAAATACAAATGGTGTGAGTATGGTCTGACTTTCACAGAGAGATGGAACACCGATAACACCTGGGGACAGAGATCGCGATTGAAGACCAGATCTGTCAAGGTTTGAAGCTGACATTTGATACTACCTTTTCACCAAACACAGGGAAGAAAAGTGGTAAAATCAAGTCTGCTTACAAGAGGGAGTGTATAAACCTTGGCTGTGATGTTGACTTTGATTTTGCTGGACCTGTGATCCACGGCTCAGCTGTCTTTGGTTATGAGGGCTGGGCTTGCTGGGTACCAGATGACCTTTGACAGTGCCAAGTCAAAGCTGACAAGGAGTAACTTTGCAGTGGGCTACAGGACTGGGGACTTCCAGTTACATACTAATGTCAATAATGGGACAGAATTTGGAGGATCAATTTATCAGAAAGTGTGCGAAGATTTCGATACCTCGGTAAATCTTGCTTGGACATCAGGTACCAATTGCACTCGCTTTGGCATTGCAGCTAAATACCAGTTGGATCCTACTGCTTCCATTTCTGCAAAGGTCAACAACCCCAGCTTAATTGGAGTGGGTTACACTCAGACTCTGAGGCCTGGTGTGAAGCTTACACTGTCTGCTCTGGTAGATAGGAAGAGCTTTAATGCTGGAGGCCACAAACTTGGGCTTGCCTTGGAACTGGAGGCTTAATCCAGTTGAAAGAAACCTCTGGGAATGGATATCAGAAGATTTGGCCTTAATATATTTCCATGTGACCAGCAGGCTCCTCCCCTTCCCCCCAGAAGGTGATCAAATCAAAGGATGATTAAACAAGAGCTGTATTTTAAATATTTAGCCAGTTTCCTGTTGGCTGGTTTTAGCTGGATGGTTAACTGGTTATCAGTGCTGCGCTGCGGTCATGCAGTCACCACACCTTATTTAACTGTATTAACTGTTAAATGTGCTACCCACCAGTGATGAAATAGACGTTTATGAAAACTGTGAAAAAAAAAAAGATTCTCTTGTTCCCTTCATGTAGAAAAGCCAATGCAGAGCTGAGGAGAGCAGGGAACTAGGAGGAAGGGGACGCCCTGTTGGTGCTGGGTAAGTGTGGAGGCCAAAAAACGCAGGCCCATTTCCCCCTCGTCTGACAGTCAGAGACTTTGGAGATTTGACAAGTATAGTTGTACGTCCCAACTCAGGCGGTGATGGCTCGGTTCTTTTGAAGTTAAGATAGCTCCATACCATCCTGATGTGTGGTCAGGACTTGCAAAACTTTCGCTCCTTCTGTTGTAACTATGAGGTCACCTAGGGAAGGATGGTCTTCAGCATAAGTGACTTAGAGCACCTTAGGTACCTAGATGACAGAATTCTAATGTTTTGATGTCTCAGAGTGATAGAGCCATTGATTGTGTGAGTTGTCCTTTTGTGTCATGTTAATAAAGTCTCTTGCTACTTTCTCCCGTGTTTATGTTGGGTATAGAAGTTGTGGAAAATAAACACAGGTGTATTTCAGGATTTCGGTCACTGGAATGCCCTCCTGATGCTTTTTATGTTTTCTGTCTTATTATTTTTATGGTCTTCATATTCTTTACTTATATTTCTTCAATTCCCACGCCCCTACCCTGGTAAGAAGTATTTTTGTCCAGGCCGGTCCTTGACATACAGCACCCAACATGGGACTGGCCTGAGAACCCCAAAGTGAATAGAAGTGTGGCCGTGTATACAAGGGAGAACACGAGGAACCCCGTGAGGAAACTGCATCACAGGTTAAGAAGAGAGCCGTGAGCACCTGAAAAATAAATAGCAGATAATAAAAAAGGAAAGAGAAAGGTGGTGAAAATACAGAGTAAAACGGTCAATAGTTGTAAACACAGGACAAGGAAATAGCTTGTTCAACTACAGGTACAGTTGCTTGGATGTATTTTGATAGCTAGAGGAACTGAAGTGGAGCAGAAACAAAGGCAGAGATATTTCGAGTTTGTAGATACTTTATTCCCGCCCCGTGCTAGCTGCATATGCACTGCTGCCTTCGGGCTGCTCCGGGTCTCATAGAGGCCAAAGTTATGCCTCGCCTTTGCCCCGCGCAGCCAGGAAAGGCAGGAGACAAAGAAGTTTAAAGGGCTGTGTGTGCCTCCCACGGGCAGCATCCAGAGTCTATCCATGAAAATGCCTAGAGGCTAATTGGTCCATGAGCCAAGGAGCCTATGTAGATAAATCTATGGCTTTTAACAGAGGAGAGGACTCAGGAATTCTCCAAATTTTATGATTACAAAATTTTAAATAAAAAAGCAAGGATAGTAAACCTAAGTTGTGGTCTAACAGTGCAGTCTCAGAGCCGCTATAATGGCGGACGACACCTGAGAGAGTCTGTAAATTTATCCACCACCTCTAACCCTGGCCTCTGATGGGACTGTCAAAGATAAAAAGTGTGGCCACAGCAAGCAATGAGGGACAGGCACCTCCTGGTCCCTAGTACCCAGGCAGGACAGCCAAGGGGCAGAGGGGACATGGCTCATACCCTGTCGTGTGGCCCAGCTTCAGCTAAGAGCCTAGCCCGACCTGACAGCCAAGCTGCAAAAAGGTAGCGTCAGGGAACTGCGGCTCCAGGCCAGCCAAGTGTCTGTGAAAATGTGGAGAAGCAGGTTGAATGTGCTTTCTTTTTTCCATTTTCCATTTGTTATAGGTGTGTGGATTGATACCCAGATCTTCGATTTGGTTCCATTGGTCCTCATATCTGCTTTTATGCCAATATCAGGGTGTTTTTTGTACTGTAGCTCTCTAGTGGAGTTTAAAGTCAGGGATTGTGATGTCTCCAGAAGTTCCTTTATTGTACAAGATTCTTTTGGCTATCCTGGTTTTTGTTGTTTGTTGTTGTTTTTCCATATGAAGTTGAGTATTGTTCTTTCAAGGTCTGTGAGGAATTTTGCTGAAATTTTGATGGACATTGCGTTGAATCCATAGATTGCTTTCAGCAAAATTGCCCTTTTACAATGTTAATTCTACCTACCCAAGAGCATGGGAGATCTTTCCATTTTCTGGTGTTTCCTTCAATTTCTTTCTTCAAAGATTTAAAGTTCTTGTTGTACAGGTCTTCCACTTGTTTGGTTAGAGTTACTCCAAGATATTTTATTTTATTTGTGGCTATTGTTAAGGGTGATGTTTCTCTGATTTCTTTATCAGCCCATTTATCTCTGTGTAAAAGAGGGAAATTTAGGTTATTTCCAGATTCTGGCTATGACAGATAATGCTGCTATGAACATAGTTGAGCACATGTCCTTGTGGTATGATTGAGCTCCTTTGGGTATATACCCAAAAGTGGTATTGCTGGGTCTTGAGGTAGGTTGTTACCTAATTTTCTAAGAAATCGCCGTACTGATATCCAAAGTGGCTGTGCCAGTTTGCACTCCCACCAGCAATGCAGAAGTGTTCCCTTTACCCCACATCCTCTCTAGCATAAGTTGTCATCAGTGTTTTTGATCTTGGCCATTCTTACAGGTATAAGAGGGCATCTCAGAGTTATTTTGATTTGCATTTCTCTGATGACTAGGATGTTGAATATTTCTTAAGTGTCTTTTGGTCATTTTAGGTTCATCTGTTGAAAGTTCTTTGTTTAGGTCTGTACCCCATTTTTTATTGGATTATTTTTTCTTTTGGTGACCAGTTTCTTGAGTTCTTTATATATTTTGGAGATCAGCCCTCTGTCTAATATGAAGTTGGTGAAGATCTTTTCCCATTCTGTAGGCTGTCATTTTGTCTTGTTGACCATGTCCTTTGCTTTACAAAAGCTTCTAAGTTCAAAGAGGTCCCTTTTATTATTTGTTTTTCTCAGTGTCTCTGCTATTGGTGTTATATTTAGAACGTAGTCTCCTGTGTCAATGCGTTCAAGTGTGCTTCCTACTTTCTCTTCTATGAGTTTCAGTGTGGTTGGTTTTATGTTGAGGTCTTTGATCCATTTAGACTTGAGTTTTGTGCAATGCGATACTATTAATCTATTTTCATTCTTCTCCATGTTGACATCCAGTTATGCCAGTACCATTTGTTGAAGATGATTTCTTGTTTCCATTTTCCTGTCAGCTCGGCAGACTTGAAACTTAGATTAGAAAGATAGCTTACAAAATTTTAATAAGACATACAATGGCTAAAAGCTTAATTAAAATTTCCTATGGGAGACCTTGAGCCACTAAGTAAGATTCTTAAAGGGAGCAGGGATCTGAGTTCCACTAGACAGCTTACAGAAGCTGCCAGACAGGTACCCAGGTTGAGTATGCTATACAAAAACAGTAAGTACATTATATTAATTATGATCAGCCTTAACAGGCATGTATATTACCTACAAAACTTACTTCTACAGTAGTTTTATGGCAAAATACTTTGCTTCTATGGCTGCACCTTACGGTTTCCACCAATTAAGGTATTAGACCTTATTTTGAAGCAGTAGCTTGCCCAGCCCAGAAGAGCAGGATGGAATCTAGGAGATATTTTGACAGAGAGCTGTCTATGATCAAAGTTCCTTATACTAAGCAACAAATTAATTGATTATTTCAAAATAGTGATTCTTGGGCAATTGTGTTTGCTCAATTTGAAGGCCAGATTAACAATCTTTTTCCCAGTTAATCCATTGCTGCAATTCTCACAACTGCATTCCTTTATTTATTTTTCCTCAAGTTGTCGCAAAAGATCTCTTAAAGGATGCTACGCTAAATTTTACAGATAGTTCTTCCAATGGAAGACCTGCATATATTGTTAATGGCGAAAAGGAATTGTGGAGCGTGCCCATGGCTCCTTGAAAACAACTAAAAGGATAAAAACAGGAGAATTAAAAATCGCCACCCAATGCCTTAAGTCACACACATTTTATGGATGTCCATGAGCACTCTGCTGTGGACAGATTTTGGCATGATGGCACCAGGACAACTTTTGCTCTGGCAAGGTGAAAAAGCCCTGGCACTGGATCATGGAAAGACCTGACCCTGTATTGATTTCCGGTAGAAGATATGTTTATGCTTTTTAAACAGGAAGAAAATAAAGCTGGATGAGATGACTGCATATACAGCAAAGGATGCCAGGCCTGATGACATCACAGCTGCTAACACCCACAGAGGAGTGCCAGGCCTGATGACATCACAGCTGCTAACACCCCACAGAGGAGTGCCAGGCCTGATGACATCACAGCTGCTAACACCCCACAGAGGAGTGCCAGGCCTGATGACATCACAGCTGATGATCCTGATCTTTTTGTACCACCATGTGCTGCAGGCTAAGGAAAGGGGAACCCGAACCAATGTTCTGACTGACAACAGCTTGCTGCAGTCTGACAAGGAAAAGAAGATCATGGCAACGACTGGTGATTTCCAGCCTCTTGATGGACTTGCTACACAGACCTCCAGACCTCCTGAGTCCTATTTACCTTGGAGCCGGACCAGACGCACAGACTAAACATTTGACTATTTTACTCTTTGGGACACAGAACTCATTTTGACAGTATGGTATTCAATCTGCTGCTGAAATATAGGACTTGAGAACTGAGACCTAAACTTTCCCCTCAGGGTAAAAGGGACTCATTACAAGAAGTATGAAGTCCCTCTTCACAGATGAGGAGGGTAGCGTAAGGGTTTCTGCTGCTGCTCAGAAACTGGGACAATTATTTAAAAGCAACATTGTACTTGAACTCTCTCACCCATCAGAAAAACCTTTTCTTGTCTTGATTAGAAAAGCTGTAAGAGAATTGTGATATGACAAACTGTGGATTTATTGTTAATTTCCCTTCTAGAATTATGGTGTTGACCTGGTAATGTTTATAACTGCTTCACTTTACTATAAGATGGTTAAGAAAAGTTTGACATTTCCTATGA